TCATGTTTTCTGGCCTTGAAGGGGGTTAGTGTTTTACAGAATAGAGAAAAGAGAGATTCTCCATTAAAATGGTACACATAGTGGCTGTCTCATGGCAGCTGCTGTGGTCACCAGCTGGAGAGTTTCTCAGTCAAATGGAAAGCATTAGAGGAAAATTTGGGCAGGGATGGGCTTACCAGCTGCTCCAGAATGTAGAAAATTGCTGGCCAAGCACACAGCTGACCGCCAAGACTGCCTGCCATCATACAGCCACACCCTTGGGCATGTTCCCTTTGAAAGCCTTGTGGCGAGGTTTTGGGTGGGCACAGGGACCTTTCATAGCATCACCACAGCTGGTACAGTGGTGAGAAGATGATGGGTGGAGCTCAGGAAGAGCAGGGAGAAGGGACCAGGAAGCATAACTACTTGAGTGCATTTTCAAAAACTGCTTTGGCAGCACAGGCCCAATGAAGTAAGCTTTTTTCTGGTGTCTCCGCCTTGGAGAGAGGGCATGTGTTAGCGGGTGGGCACTACTGTGAAGGAGAATTTGATAGCATTAGTACAAGTAAGAGGTGCAAACATGGGCTGCTGTGACTATGTCTGGAAATCCCAAAATATTTTGAAATTATTTGCAAAGCTGTTTTGTTACCCAGTCTGCCCACAGGCATCCTTAGTCACCTCATCCACAACAGCCCCCCTTTTTTCTGTCTTCTATGCCCCATTGTGACCATCTTCTCATTTGCTTCACTGAAACCTCCATTCGTGATGTTTACAAGGGATGTATTATATAAGGGGAGCCAGCTAGCCAGGAAGTCTCTCCCCAGCTCTTCTTGGGTGTCTTTATTTCACGTTGCACATTCCTGTATCAGGGCTGACTACCCTGGGGTGCTTCACTAGCCCCCTTCTGCTTTGTCCTTTATATTTTATTTTTTTATATTTCCCTTTTTCCTTTTCAGTCCCTCCCTCTCAATTTGTTTCCATCTTTATATTTCTCTTTCCTCCTCCATTAGGCTCAGAATGGCAGATATGGAGAGAGACAGGCCGAGAGTAGGGTAAAGGTCACGCCCCCCAGTACCTCTCTTCCCCTGCCCTAAGCTAATCATCATAACAGCTCCATTCAGTTCACACATACCGCACGCCGGGGCCTATGCTAGGAGTACACTATGGGTGCATTAATTTCATTCTCACAACCAGCCTGTGAGGTAGTGACCACTATTTTCTGCATTTTAATGCTGATGAAAGGATGGAACAGAAAGGTTTGATTAACTCGCTTAGTATCACACAGCTAGTAAAAAATGAAGCTAAGATTCGAATCCCAGGAATCTGATTTTAGAGTTTGTGCACTTAACTACTGGGCTGTACTCTCAAGACTCTGCCAAGTTTTGTCAGGTAGTGGCACTTAAAATGTGATGATGCATATATGGCATAAAATGGGAGTAAATTGGAAGAGACCTGGGCTTGGTGAAAAAAATTTTTTTTTACTTTCTTTATAGTATATAATGAGAAGAAAATATAAAATAATAGGTACCACATCACATATTGCACTGTAAAAATTTTCCCAATAAAATAGTTTTAGATTTTGAATGAGAATCTTGTGCTTATTTCCAAGAATATAGCTTTCTGATATTAAGTTTTATGCTTAAAATAGCAATATGCAATCCTGATCAAGATTTTAAATGATGATCTTTTCAAATTCTTAATAATCAGCATTGACAAGAGACTTTGCGCACGTGGACTCTGGCAAACAGGAGGACAATGCTCATTGCTTTTTTCTGATTGATGAACATTTTTTTCTTGCTGTTGGACATAATTCAGATAATTCAATCACTAAACTGTCCTTCAAGGGTGTGAGCATTCTTTCAATCTGACAGCTATTACTTTTCATTGATGAATGTAGTGCTCAGATTTCTTATGATAATTTGAGTGAATTTGAAAGGATTGCAAATCCGATTCAACTTTTTTATATTATGTATTTCAAAATAATAATGAAGCTTTTTTTCCTTAGGAATACACAGATATTACACCAGTGGTCTTAATAATTGTTCTTAAAATTAAAATAATGAAATTACTAGTGAGTCATTTTTAACCTCCTCTTTAATGTTGAATTTTTGCTTTTAAATTGATATACCTTGTCAGTTCATTATATATTTCACATGCTCCTTGCAATTTTCAATTAAGTTCATTCAGGTCCTCAGCAAGGTCCAGCATATTTTGAAGTCAATAATTATTCTTTAAAATTTTTTCAGTGTGTAACTCACAATTTATTTTTCAATCTATGTATCAGCTGATAAGCTCTCATAGAACTCTCCTTAGACAGTCAACTGCTTTAGTGTGAAACAGAAGGGAGAGGTCGTCTGAACCTATGTCTTCACTAAAAGCTAAAAACAGAAGAAGTTATACAGGTTTAGATGTTATTAGAGTCATCTTTTTTTATAACAACCTTTCATGTGGAATCAGATCCACAGGCAAACTTTTCTATGACAGAGCTTTTCTTAGAATAAATATTACTTGAATCTCAAGATTTTCAGAAGGAACTGGATGCACAGTCTGTACGCTTGTCATGCAGCCGCACCATTGGTATACAAACGGGCAGTATATTTCCAAACACTGCTTTAACGTGTTCATATACTTCTTTGACTGCTTCATCCCCAACAACTTGGTTTGGTTCTTCTTTGAAAGACAAATGGTATAACTCCAAGCCTTTCTCTTTAGGGTTTCTAACTGGTGCTATTAACCACATAGTCAGTTACTGATATATAATATCCAGTATGGAAAACCCTGAGAGGTGGGAAAGGGAGGTGAGGAAATGCTAAAATAATCTGTAGTAAACTGGAGGTGGGGAGCTGAAGGTTCAGGAACCTGTTCCAGAAGGGAAAAGAGTCACCAAGGTAATGGGGAGTCAAACTGGGAGCAACCAGGAAGGAGATGGTCAGCATTAAGTCAGGACCTGGGGCAGTAAAGCCCTGGAGATTGCATGAGGTCAGACAGAGCAGAAGACAAGACTAGGTATCCTGGAAGACAGCTGCTGTTTGGGTGAGGTTGAAGGTTCAACCACATTTTGAATCACCAGCCTAGGGAGTCACCTTGCCCCATCCTTCATCTTAAAAGTGATGTGGACCAGCTCTCCAAGAGAACAATCTCCTGACCCAGGCCTAGGCCACTCTTTCCATCAGGGTTGGAGTTCTTGGGGGTAAGGAGAAATTCTTCAAGGACGTGGGGATTGGGGAAGGGGATTCTGATGGAGCCCACGGCTACTCAGGCACAAGTGGCTTAGGTTTTACTTTAGCCATTCCACTTCCTCCCCTTCTCTCTTTTCACTCTTCAAAGGCTCCCACTTGTCTTCTCCCCCCTACTCAGTCCTCTACGCCACCTATCAGGCTACACGGTATCTTCCCTGACTACCCACTCACATTGATGAGGATGGGTTTGCATGCGTGCACATCACTACGTACAAGTGTTCTCGTAAGTTTTCAGCCCCTCTCTCGCCTGTGCATGTTGCACTCACCTCCACTACAGCAACTGTCGCGCTGCATTGTCACTCCTAACGGGTCCTTGCCCTCCTACCCTCCCTGGGCTGAGAGCCTTTTGAGATCAATGTCTTCATCTTACTCATCTTGGTAACCCTCTGAGCCTGCATTATTCCAAAAAAAAATTTGGGGGGTAGAATTTTAGAAAATTCTGCATGGTCCCAGAATTCTAGTAAAAGTGTATACTTCT